TGATGCAGAGGTAAACCAGAGGAAGCCACAGGGGCCTTATCTACACTAAGGCTCTCACTACTACAGTTGAATAGGTAATACTATTCCCTAATGTAGACAAGGCCAATATGTTGTGTTGCCTTTCACCCCAGGATTATGAAAAGACGACTTCAGCCCCTACACTAAATAAGCTTATTTGCAGTAATCACAGCCTGTGCTCACAAAGACTGTTCAGAATGTAAAGGAGAATGAAGTTCTCAGATTTACAGATTTAATGCTTCTACCAGATGACTGCATCAGCCACTTGACTGAGAAGAGGACATGGTAGAAAATAAGGATCTTCCCTCCCCTACTACTCCCCCTTCTCAAGTCACCAGCAACTTTTTGGTGGGACCTGTCATTTATGCAAAGCACTTACTGATGATAAACAAATATGTGAGGCATTTTTAAAAACGGGCTGGCATTTGAATATGCTTCTCGTCATTAGCTGGGATAAAATCTTTTAAGCATGGATCCCTGGTCTCCTACGCAGTCTGATTCTTAGACAGCACATGTGCATTTGAATGACATAGTCATCGCCAGCTGCTTCATGTCCCATCAGTGTCATGTGGTTAAAATACATTTCTAATATTCCCTGGGGCCTTGATCACATTTGCAAACCCAGACTTACACCGTTAGATACAGAGTCTGTAATATTCAAAACTGATTCATTCATTTCTTATTTTAAAGGGATGTCTAATGCGTAGCTGCTTTATAAAGATGCATGTTTGACCATCCAAAATGTCTTGACTCTCAGATAGATAGTGGGGATGTCCATACATTACATAACACATTTATTGGTGATGTTCGATTTACTCACCATTTATGAAACCACCACTGAAACAAACACAAAGATTAACCCCACCTACTCCCTAGTGTATTACATAATGTATGGCTATCCCCTTACAAGTACTCTGATTCTTTTAGTAGTTGCAGCTCTACCCAAGGACATCAAGACTACATATAAACAAGCCTCCTTTTTATCCAAGCATTTTGAATAAATGCTTTTTCTGCTCCTGAGTAATGGTTCTAGGTCAGACGTATTCTTCTGTCAAGCTAGCTGTGTCTACACTGGAGATTTAGTTTGGCAGAGAGCTCTTGAATATAGACAGTTGAGTAACAAAAAGAAAAACATTCACAAAAAAATTATTTTCGGGTTTTATCGAAAGATGTATGTCATCAGTATTTTCTGATCAGGTCTACTCAAGTGCCACATTTTAACCCTTTGCAATCTCTCCCAACCATTTTCTGAACAGAATAACAAATCTACCATATGAGAAAGTGTGTCTGCGAGTCTGTCTGTGTGTCTGTCTGTATGTTCAAGGACTCCTCTTGAAATGTAAGAGCTAGGCCCACCAAATTTGGTATGTAGCTTCCTTTTATCATAACATAGAGCAAGGTCAGGGTTTGGTTGTGCCGGGAAAATGGGATGTGCCTGGAATGAGATTGCTTCTCATAAAACCATACAGAAAAGAGAAAGACTCACCAGGCAAGTGAAATAGGCCAGCTGGGGAATACCCTCCCCCTCACTGTACAACTGCGCCAACTCCAAGCCTCTCACCTCAGGTGCCCTTTAGGGAGGTCAGAGGAGCTGATGCTCTCTGCCCACCTAATTCATGTGGGAACACTGCTGGCTGTTCCCCTTTGTCAGGGAGTGAGAGGAAAGTGCACAGTTTGCAGCATTCCTCACTTTAGCTGGGGTGTGCAGGGAGCAGACACACCTGGACCTGCCCCAGCTGGGGGACAGGCACCCCTCCCCCAGCTGTGCCCACTGGAGCTGCAGTGGCCATAGGGAGGTGTTTCTCACCTAGCCCTAAGCTTCTGTGATGAGAGGGCTGGGCCAGCCTGCAGACTGAATTCCTCATCCTTAGCCCCACCCCAGAGCAATGAGTCAAATGAAGTATGTGCATTTATATATATAAAATTTCCTGTTGGAGGACAGAATGACATCATCACATCAGCACCAAGAGGCTGGGGTGGGAAGTAGGCAGAGTGAGAGAGATGTCCCCCAGGGACGCTGTGATGCTAGGGCAGGAAGCAGTGGCAAGGCGGGCCCCTGGCTCAGTTCAGGACAGCCTGTTCAGTGATCACTAGCTGGAGTCCTCAGCACCCCACTGCTGGGGGAGCTTGGAGCGCTGCAGAGGGGAGGAAAGCTTAGCCCGGCTGCAGCCTGCGCCGTCAGTGTGTTCAGCGTGGAAAAGCCCTGGATGCAGGACAGTGGCCTCATCACAAAAGGCTCTTTGTGGGCAGCCCGCCTCTCTCGCAGGCAAAGCTGAAGTGGAGGGAGCCCCGCGGGCAGCATGGTCCACACCGAGGCAGCCTGGGGGCGCACAAGGACAGTAGCAGGATGCGGCGAGCTCCCCGTTTGCCCTGCTGGCAGCTTCCTTGCTCCTGCCCCTCCACCCAGCCCTCTCACTCACCAGCTCTGCTCCCCATCCCCGCTCCCCCCTCAGCAGGGAGCCCATGCTGGCACTCCAGCCTCACCGCCCCCCCCCCCACAAGGTTGAAGCACCAATGCCAGCTTCCTGTGGAGAGGGACGGGTTGGGGGAGAAAGCTCCCAGCCTCCCCGCCAGATCTGGGTTGCAAGGAAGAAGTGACTGTGTTCACTGTCACTTCTTCCCCTCCCCCAGCTGGGGGAACAGCAGCACAGAGACACGCTTCAAGGACACTTTTCCCATGCTTGGCAGGGCAGTGAGTGAGAGGGGTGGGGATATGGGGTCTCAGCTTGGGGATACAAGGCTGGAGCTCCCAGCATGGCCGCCAACCCCCCCGCCCCCAACCCCCCCCCCCCCCCCCCCTGCCAAGACCCCGCACTTCAACCCCGTCACTCACCGCCCTGCCAAGACCCCTGCACTCCAACCCTCTCACTCACCACCCTGTCAAGACCCCCGCACTCCAACCCCCTCACCCACCACCCTGCCAAGACCCCGCACCCCAAACCCCTCATGCATACCCCTCAGCGGAGATCCTGCACCAACAGCCTGCTTATTCACCACCCTCTGAGACCCATCCCCAGCCCTCTCACATACACTCCTCCACCGAGACCCTGCACCCCTAGTCCCCACACTCACCACCCTGCCAAGACCCTGCACCAGCAACCCCTTCACTCACCACCCTGCTGAGACCCCGCATCCCCAGCCCCCTCACACACACTCCTCCACCGAGACCCTGCACCCCTAGTCCCCACACTCACCACCCTGCCAAGACCCTGCACCAGCAACCCCTCCCCCAGCTGGGGGAACAGCAGCACAGAGACACGCTTCAAGGACACTTTTCCCATGCTTGGCAGGGCAGTGAGTGAGATCACTCACCACCCTGCTGAGACCCCGCATCCCCAGCCCCCTCTCTTATCCCTTCCACTGAGACCCCCCTCTCACTCCTTCTAGGGAGACCCTGTACCCCCAGCCTGCTCCTGCCCTCGCCTCCCTGGCCAGACACCTACCCCCAGAGAGAGGGGGGTTGGTGAGAGTAGCAAACAGGAGGCGCAGCCCCCTAGTTTTAAAAAAAACCAAACATTGAGTTAAGGACCTGAGCAATACTGGATAAATCTTCTAGTATTATTATAATTACAAGTTCTGCATTCATCACTTATGGAGCACTTTCTCTTATAATTCATCAGGTTGAATTTACTCAAATTGGAGCTTCTAGCAGAACATAAATGACATACATCTCGCTTTGTATCAAACAAGTATGGACTGAGTTATTACAACTTGTACAGATGAAATGTCTAAGGGCCTGATCCAAGATTCCCACTGATTTTACCAGGCTTTGGATCAGGGTCAGATAAAATGCTAACTTACAATATAGTCATAATTACATTAAAGCAGTGTTTCTCAACCACTGGTACAAGTACCCTTAGGGGTATTCAAGAGAAGTCTGCGGGAGAGGGGGGGGTAAATCAATACAACTGAAATTTGGAGAAAACTGAATTTACATTTTATTATTTTTGTACTTTTTACACCCAAAAATTTCATTGCCCACCCAGCTACGATTAAGTGGTTTAAACAAATGTGTTGCAATGGTAGAAAAAAAATTGTGTGTGTCTGAAAACTGTAGGTACTGGGGGTACTTATAATTTTTTTAAAAGGAGTACATTATAAAAACAGATTGAGAAACACTGCATTAAAGCATATAAGTAGATTAGATATAAAATTACCTTAGGTTAATTCCCCCATACAGGAAGCTGATCCATAGCCATCCCAGGAAAAGGAAAAGCAGCATTAAAGGAAATGCAAACACAAACCAGGATCCAAAATTCACAACATCGCACCCTGGAAAAAAACTTAGAAAATGGGGAAATCTAATTAACCTGAGAAGTGAAATGCCCCTTGAACATGAAACAAAGGGAAACAGATGTCTGAAATCAAGATCAAATGTCATGCAAACTTCTCAGATGTGCAGTTTTTAAAAAGGTGATTACAGGCAGTCCCCGGGTTACATGGATCCGACTTACATCGGATCCCTACTTACAAATGGGGTGAGGCAACCCTGCACTAGCTGCTTCCCCCCAGCAGACCAGGGAGATGCAACGCTAGCGCCACCCTCCCCCTCCCCCCAGCAGACCAGGGAGACGCGGAGCGGCTTTTTCAGCAGACACTTCAGCTTGAGAATAAAGGACTGAGGGAAGTGAGGTGTGGAAGAATAAAACTGAGCTCTGGAGAAATGTTTGGCTAGAGTTTCCCCTACAATACGTACCAGTTCCGACTTACATACAAATTCAACTTAAGAACAAACCTACAGTCCCTATCTTGTACGTAACCCAGGGACTGCCTGTATTTGTATAGCCCTAGTGCCTAGCAGCACCAACTAAGGTTACTCTAGGAGTGGAACAAACATGTAGTAAGAAATAGTCCCTGCTTCAAAGAACTGAAAAGGACAATTGTGAAATGACATTTTAAAACAGACACCTTGAAAATAGAGCTCTCTGGAGTTGCCGGAGTTCCCAAATAATAACACCACTCAACATGCAGCACTTCACAGAAATTAGCTCAATGCTCCAAATTCATGGTAGAATACACTTTAAGAGTGTTTGAACATGAACGTTACAGAAGAGCTCTAGCCGTACAGAACAACTTTCGCCCATGTCTAGGAAGAGAATTCTGTGTAGATCACTGCATGGTTGAGATATCAGAGTAAGTTTATGGTGGCAACACTAAATCTACTTTTGCAAATAGAGGAGCTTCTTAGTGTTTAATAATAACTTTACAAAGGGAGGTCAGTATCATCTGTATTTGACAGTTGGAGAAACTAAGGCACAGAGAACTTGTCCAAGGTTATCCAGTAGCAGATTCTACTCAATTCCAATCTAGTGCTTTAGCCACTAGGCCACAGAACATACACAATGTGTATCCTGTTTTCCTTTTACACCACATAACGGACAAGTTTGAAGGTGCTCCCTGTTGCTCTGGTTCACCAAAACACTTAACCATGGAAAGCAAGTATAACAGAAAAAAACATTTCTAGAGACCTGGAAGTTTTTCAGTGACATTTTTTAAGGGAACTAGAGCAAACTATCCTACTGCATAGGAATAAGATAGGAAGTGTGGCAAGAGACCACCCTGACTTAACCAGGAGCTCTTCAATGACATGAAACTAAGAAAACAAATCTTACCAAATGTTTATACTATCTAGAGCACATACTCCATTTATTACTGATTGTGAAAGTTTCTCACTGCTAGGTCTGAAAAAGAACAAACACAATCACTAGGTTTTAAGAAAATTTTATGAAGAAATACAAACCTAGGCTTCCTTCTTTTGCATAGGTGGAGAAGTTCACCAACATGGATCTCCATGCAAAATTAAGTTCCCATGTGTCATGAAGGGTATATATACACACACACACACACACACACACACACACACACTTCATAATTTGACCAATTTCCACTTTTGTTAGGATTGTTTTCTTAGTTTCAGATCACTGAAGATTTTGTACACACACATACATATTCACCACAAGCATGTAGGGGCAAAATTAGAAAGGTTGAGACACAAAATGAGAGATTCTATAAATATATTAGAAGATAGAAGAAGACCAAGGACAGTGTGTGATCATTACTCAATGAGGGAGGAAAACAATAACAGAAAATGTGAAAAGAGTGGAAGAGTGAAATGCCTTTTTTGTTTCTATTTTCACCCAAAAGATTATTAGTGATCATTTTCTAACATAGTGAATGCCCATGAAAATGACTTTGGATCTGGGGCTAAACTTGGAAAATAACAAGTTAAACATTATTTAGACAAGGTAGATGTCTTCAAGACACTAGGGCTTGATGAAGTACATCCTAGAAAATGCAAGGAATTCACTGGGGAGATAGCTGAACCACTAGCACTTGTCTTCCAAAACTCTTAGAAGACAGGTGTGATTCTAGAGGATGGGAAGAGGGCAAATATAATGCCAGACTGAGAAAAGTGGAATAAGGACAATCCAGGGAATTACAGGCCATTCATCTTAACTTTAGTAACCAGAAAGATAATGGAGCAAATAATCAAGCAACCCACTTGCAAACACTTAGAAGATAATGTGATAAGTAACAGTTAACATGAATTTATCAAGAAAAAATCATCTCCAATCAAGCTAATAGCTTTCTCTGACAAGGGTAACAAGCTTTGTGGAGAGGGCAAAGTAGAAGATGTAGTATATCTGGACTAAGGCTTTTATACTGTCAGCAGGGCCCACTGTGGGAGGGAGGTTGAAGCAAAATGCAGGACAATGTAGCACTTTAAAGACTAACAAGATGGTTTATTAGATGATAAATAATCATCTAATGTGGGAGGGAGGTTGAGGGCAGAAGGGGCAGGGCCGAGTGCAGTTAGCCCTTAATGCAGCCTGGACCTCAGCACTGCAGTCAGAAGTTCAAAGGGGCCAAGGGCTCCAGCAGCAACTGCTGCCACAGCAACAGTGGCCGGGGCACGGAGCTCCGTGCCCTTGTGCAATTGTACCCTTTGCCATCCCCTTACCCCCCATCAGTAGGCCTGGATAATGTCTTGTATGATCTTCTCATCAACAAACTGGTGAAATTTAGCCTAGATGGAGCTAGTATAAGGTGGGTGCCCAACTGGCTGGACAACCATTCCCTGAGAAAATTTATCAATGGTTCACAGTCAATCTGGATAGACATATAGAAGGAGGTCCTGCAGAGACTGGTTCTGGGGCCGGTTCTGTTAAATAGCTTCATACATCATTTAGATAATATCACAGAGTGCACACTTACAAAATTTAAAGGTGATACCAAGCTGTGAGGGGTTGCAAATGCTTTGGAAAATAGGATTAAAATTCAAAATGACCCAGATAAACTGGAGAAATGGTCAGAATTAAATAGGATGAAATTCAGTAAGGACACATGCAAAGTACTCCACTTAGGAAGGAACAGTCAGTTGCACATGTACAAAATGAGAAATGGCTGCAGAAAGGGATCTAAGAGTCATAATGGATCACAAGATAAGTATGATTCTAATATGTAACACTGCTGCCAAAAAGGTGAACATCATTCTGAGATGTATCAACAGGAGTGGTGGAAGTAAGACATGAGTGATTCTTCCACTGTACTTTGTGCTGATAAAGCCACAGCTTAAGTATTGTGTCTAGTTCTGGTCACATTTCAGGAAAGATGGACAAACTGGAGAAAGTCCAAAAGAGAGCAACGAAAATGACTGAAGATCTAGAAAACATGTCCTATGAGAAAAGACTTTTTTAAAAAACTGGGTTTGTTTAGTCTGGAAAGCTAGATCTACACTATATGGGGGTTTTTTGGAAAAAGCGATGACAATTGCACTCTGCATTTGGCATAGCTTTTTCCAATCACTTTTCCAGAAGAGGCTTTTCTGTCATTTGGCCCTGTCTAGATGGGGCCAAATGGCAAAAAAGCCTCGGCGGAGCCCTTATCCCTCGTAGAACGTGGAATACAGGGCTCCCCGAAAGAGTGCGTTTGCTCTTCTGCAAAAAAAAGCAGAAGAGCAAACACATTCCTTGGATGCGGCGGAGTTTTTTCAGGATATTTCCGGTATCCCGGAAAACCCCCACAGTGTAGATGTACTTGAAAAAAGCAAATTGAGGTGGAGAGAGAGACATGATAACAGTCTTTAAGTGCATAAAAAATAGTTACACGGAGATTAAAATATTTTTTTAATCTCTAAGGATAGGACAAGAAGCATCTGGCTTAAATTGCTGGAAGGGAGGTTTAGGGTGGGCATTAGAAAAACATTGTTAACTTCCAGGATAGTTAAGCACTGGAATAAATTGCTCAGAAGGTTGTGTCACTGGAGGTTTTTAAGAACAGATTAGACAAAAACCAGTCAGGAAAGGTCTCATTATCACATGCAGAGGACTGGATTATATGCTACTGAGGTCCCCTTCCAGGCCTCCACTTCTATTATGTGCTCAATTTTACGCATTTTGCAAAGTCCCTAGAACATGGCTACAGTGTTTTGCAGAATCAGGACTGATAGCATTTGGGGGACCACACATGTACTGTGCCTAAAGTTGAAGGAGCCTTTTGAACTCCTACTGTCATTTGCTTTTTCCAAAACTTGCTTTGAGGGCAGGAACTTAACATGCTTGATCTCAGCCCAAAGGTGAAGTTCTAGTAGCAAACACATGAGGTCTTAATTTGGTAGAATTCCCTCTCCTAGACAGTGCAGATCAGCAGCAATTTCATAAATTTATTGTACTTCTAGGGTCCTGGCTTCCTAAGGGTTTCCTCCCATACCTCTTTAGCTGTCCTAGAAGGATGAGATTTGGTGCCGTTCCTGTCAGCGTGGCTGTACCTCCAATGCTGGCTGCATAAGGGATTGAAATGAGGAAACCTTTCCATATGTTTGCCCTGTATTCTTCCTCTTTCTTCAAATCCACAGGAATGTCAATGGCAACTTCCTTCTCCTCCATCAGATCTTTGCTTTAAAACAGTCCAAAAGAGACTCCATTGAAAGCCCTGGTTTAAATACAGGTGCAACCAATTCAGGACCTTGGCAAAAGGAAAGCTCAGCTTTTAGTAACCAGATTAGTACTATCCCAAAGGGTGTCTATGCAGAATATTACTGCACATGGGGCCTGCTAGACATCTCCATCATTCAGCTGACAATTGAGAGCCATTCTGTACTGGATGGGCCCTATGAAGCACTGAGCGCCCACAACTGCCCTCAGTAGAAGTTGAAGGTGCTCACACCTCCCAGGACACACACAGTACCTTGTAGGATCAGGCTCCCCAGAAAACTTAACAAAAAGTCAACACTCTTCATGTTAAAAAAGGAAAAGGGGTTTGGTGAGCTCAAGCTACCAAGTGGCAGGAAGAGTCTATTCCTTGGGAAGCTTCCACACCATTTATGTATCAAACCTGGACCTTCAGCAACATGTAAATCTTGGTGTTTTAAACCTGCTGCCTGACCCATTTTCTGTCCTCAAGAAAGCAGTACAGACACTTCCCCAGCAGTAGACACCTCCAATCACATTCTCAAAGTGGCCTGAAAATCTGGCCCTGTGTTGGCTTACTGAATATATTGGAGAGGGATTTCTCTACTCAAGTTGTTGGTAGTCGGGAAATGGAGTAGCAAGAAGAGTCAAAACAGTTTCATTGATTGAATTTCACATTCCTAAGGCCATTTCTCTCTGAGAGGGGATAATTACCTCACTCAACTCTCCAATACAAACTTTATAGTTAACTTACTCCTCAGTACTTGCCAGAAACTGCAGCTCAGTTGGTACAGTGTAAAGTTTATTCTGCTGTAAAGAGGCTGAAAAAGAAAGATTGGGACTTTAAAACAGTTTAAACATCTAGAAAAACTCTCCCTGACCCACACAATGGACTGGAAGGGATTGTCATTTTCAGAGAGAAAAATTCACTCCTGCTGATCTGAGGCCAGGGCACAAGAGGTAATGCAGCTCTCGCCTCACAGCCACTACTACTGTCTGCAGGACACCATGTAAAACAGAGCTCCAAAGATCTCTGGAAACCTGCTGTCCCTCACCTTGGCAAACTCTGCTCCTCCTATTTGACCAGGACAAGTTACAGCTAATCTAGGACAAACTATATCTAATACACAACTCCAGTGATAAGGACATTCTAATGTAGACTCGGTTTCCAGTTTGTAAGTTAACCTCTCAGGTATTTTTTGTTTGTCTGTTTTTGGTTTTGTTTTTAAAGTAAACATGGTTCATTTTAGGACTCAAAATAATTTTGGTTTGGTCCTGGGTTACATCAGAATTGCCCCTGCCCCGTGCTCCCTAAAGGAGGAGCTCTTGGAAAATGAAATTACAGCCCCATGCAGGAAGCCAGTCCAAGACCCAGGCACCACTTTGCTCCCACCTCCAATCCCATTTGGAAGGCTAAGGTAGGACATAGTGGTGAGTAAGCCTTATCCCAGGCCTTCTTCACACAGGTCAATTTCACCCAGTGAGCATGGGCAATGTTTAGAGCCTATCACTCTCTGAAAGCCACACATGCCACAGGCTGAACACTCAGGCTGCGTCTAGACTGGCAAGTTTTTCCACAAAAGCACCTGCTTTTGCAGAAAAACTTGCCAGCTGTCTACACTGGCCTCTTGAATTTCCACAAGAGCACTGATGATCTCATGTAAGATTGTCAGTGTTCTTGTGGAAATGCTATGCTGCTCCCGTTCGGGCAAAAGCCCTCTTGCGCAAATGCTTTTGTGCAAGGGGGCCAGTGTAGACAACAAGGTATTGTTTTGCATAAAAAAGCCCCAATCGCAAAAATGGCGACCGGGGCTTTCTTGCGTAAAACCGCGTCTAGATTGGCACGGACACTTTTCCGCAAAAAGTGCTTTTGCGGAAAAGCATCCGTGCCAATCTAGATGCTCTTTTCCGCAAATGCTATTAACGGAAAAACTTATCCGTTAAAAGCATTTGCAGAAAATCATGCCAATCTAGACGTAGCCAGCCCCAGGGCACAAGCCCTAAGAGAGCACAGTGAGATTTTGGATCTGACTAGCTGCTTCTGTCTGCAAACATGAAATGGCACATTTGGGCGATACCTTTTATAAAGTCCCCAGAGCCTTACTTTGGTCTCGGAATTGGTGATTTTTATTAGAATGGAGCCAGAAGCACAATCCTTCATTCCATTTCACGTTTGCTATTATTGCTGAACACTGCTACCCATCCCTTGCATGTTGCATGTTTGGTCCTGTCTAGAGCAGGGGGCTGGACTTGATGACCTTCTGAGGTCTTTTCCAACTCTATGATTCTATGTTGTCCATTTTAGAATTCCAGAGGCCTAGAATTAGGGTTACTAAAGATCAAAATGCTCTCCTGATCACCACGGGCATGGACTCAGTGCTACTTTCCCCCCAGCTCTCCCTGCGCATTCCTCAACCACAAGCACTGCCGTCTCTTTCCAGCAAGAAAATGCAGTGAACTATGGGGAGAGGACACAATGGTCAAAGTCTTTGGACCTGCTTACTCATACACTGAAGAGATCAAGCTCAGTGAACCAGGGAACTTTGCAATGTCATGTTTTACATGTTGCCAACCAGCATCCGAGTTAATTAGCTTGGAAAGAGGAGGTTTGATTCCAAGAAAGCTGTGGTAAAGAGATGTAATTAGAAGGAATAACATTAACCCACTGGTGACTGTGGACTTTCTCACTCTCTCTATGAGCAAATGTCATCTCTTGCAGAGAGGGCCAGCTCAAGAGCTATGCACCATTTAAATCCCACTTAAGCTTTGTGCTGGTCATTAAAACTAGAGTGTACATTTCATTATATAAGACCTGCCATACTGGGTCAGACCAAAGGCCCATCTGCCGACAGTGGCCAATACCAGGTGCTCCAGGGGGAGTGAACAGAACAGAGAATCATCAATCAATCCCTCTCCCATCACCCATTCCCAGTCTCTGATAGAGGCTAGGGACTCCATTCCTACCCATCTTGGCTAACAGTCATTGCTGGACCTAATCTCCATGAATTTATCTAGTTCTTTCTTGAACCCTGTTAAAGTCCTAGCCTTTACCACATCCTCTGGCAAGGAGTTCCACAGGTTAACTGAGTGCTAAGTGAAGACAATTTTCCTTCTGTTTGTTCTGTCTATATGGGTGCATCTACACAGCACCCTTACCTCAAAATAAGTTACGCAATTTGCACTAGAAAAATTCTGTAGCTTATTTGAGGTTATTTCAAAATAAGCACGACTACAACAAGTCCCTTAACCCTCATGGAATGAGGGTTACAGGGATGCCAGATAGTGCACCCGTTATTTCTAAATATTATTCAAAATAACAGGCACGTTTAAAGATATGGAATTTCTATTTCAGAATACTTCTGGTATCCTGAAATAGCCCTGCTGTCTAGACGTAGCCTATTAGATATTTTCCATATCTTTGTAACTGAGCCCCTCTCATATATGGGAAGGACCCACCCACTGATATCTGTTCACAAGCCTGTGGGAGCACTGCAGTCCGAGTAGCCTTTTTTAAAAAAAAGAGAGTGAGAAAAAGAGAGAGAGAGAGACATTTCACGATAGCCACATTCTGGTGACTGATGAAATCATGAGTTATGCAACATGTGCCAATGAACACTTCATTCTATGCTGCACTATCACACAATCTGTACAGGCGGAATACTTTATAGGAATACTTCTTTAGATAAAGTTTAGCTTTAACACTATTTGTATTGGTGCTTTTATTAGATTCCTTTGGCCACTAAAGATAAGATGACTTAGTAACATGAGCCCAACTTTTCAGGTATGGCAGATGATCACTATCAATTTTTAGAGGCTTCTAAATGTATTTAAAAGTAATTTTTCCATCTCTAAAAATGTAACAGTCCAAGGGCTGATAGCTTATAGTGTGGGGGCATAACAAAAGGAAGAAAGAGGCTATGAATTTGTAACTTTCTAATGATGTGAAGCTTCCATTCCTAGCCCTTTTGGGCTACAGGACATGGTCCAGGGCTGAATGTTGCCCAGCCCACCCTGTGTGATTCTGGAGAAGAAATTCTACATTCAGGAGGAAAAGAAGAAATGTTTTTAAAATAACACTTTAAAACTGCTCAGAGGACTGAAATGCTGGTGGAGATGGTTTAGCAGGCAGAGAGGAGGTGAGGTGGTCAAAGGTACAAGATACAATAGTTATCATGTGGCTCAGCAGTTGACCATGTGGCTGTCACGGGGTATGGATTTGGGATTAGAAGTGCCAGAATCTAACGTAGGTTAATGAAGGTGCACCTAAGACATTTCCAACCAGCCTCAAAATAGAAAATTCCAGAAGTCACATGAAACCCTGTTCTCAGCAAGTTTCCAAACCAATTCTGAAAATCAAGAACAGCTGGATATTCCATGGAAGGACAATTATCCAAATCCTGTTAAACCCAAGTGAGTTATTCACGCTTCAACTATCACTATTTACAGTAGGTTCTTATAATGGTATCCATAAATGTGGTCTCTTCTGTGGGTGAACACTAGTCAATATCCTTAGCACTCTATGGCCTTGATTCTGTGAATGCTTATTTACAAATCGGCATTTGTTCATTCACAGTAGTACAGATTATGTGTTTCCAGACTAGACTCATTTTCTAATCTCTTGGCCAGTAAATGTTTTAAAATGTAACCATGAAGATTTGCAAATTCAGATTATCAGATGTCATTCTTAAAAGCAGCTCGAAACAGAGCCCATTTTGCAAATATTTTTGCTCATCTTATTTTCCATAATGTATATTATTATACCTTGGAAATCTCAAATGAGGGCACCTCTTTACAAAAGGGGCATGTATTTTATTTGTTGCACACAAGCTGCACAAAAGTTGGGAAACCAAATCTAACCTTAGACGTGAAACCAAATCCTGGTGTCAAGGCAAGTTTCAATAACAGATTAAACCTCAAGGAAAAATCCAGTTCATTTCTGGTCATCGACACACAAACCAAATTCATTGTGCTTGACAGAGAATTGCTTCAAGATTTGGGGCTCATTCACAATGGTGAAAGTAAGCCAGAGCACCCCAGTATGCTGCTTTGGCAAGAAAGAGCCGGCCGGTTAGGGTGCTTGGCTGCAGGAAGAGGCAGGATGCACTCCCAGTTGGACTTCCGGGGTTTTCTTCAGGCTGCCGCGCTAAGCAGTGAGGCTAAATGGGCTGGCTGGGGGTGCATTCCCCATTCCTGGTGCAGGATTGCCCCAGCCCTGAGCCCCCCTAGAGTGCCATAGGGAGAGCAGGAGGGCTGAAGCCCGCCCATCCCCCAAGATTCATATAACAATGCTTGCTGTTCCCCTTCCCATCACTCTCAGGAAGCAGGAGGAAAGCTCACAGCTTGTGTGCATGCCTCGCTCTCCTGACTGGGGAAGGGAGGGGGCAGAGAAGTGAGTGACCCACATTGGGAACATCCTTCTTGCTCCCTGACAGTGATGAAAGGAAACAGCGAACAGAATCCTGGTACAAATATTGGGAGGCAGCTTAGACCCCACTGCCCACCCTAAATATTGCCCTTGCCCCCTACACTTCCTCCATCCATCCATACTCCAGCCCCCTGCCCTGAGCCCCAGCTCACACCCCCAACCCTGATTCCAGCACCCCCCCCCGCACACAGCTCCCTGCCCTGAGCCCCTACACTCCCATGCTCCTGCCCTGCCTCCTGCACCC